AACATTAAATGCATGAGTGGTTCAATATGTAGAGAGAAAAATGAGGCTCTGTGAAAACAATTTTGGGCTAAAATAAATATGCATCTTGTTCTTCTTACATGTCATAAACGTGTTAATCAAACTTCAACACAAGGCAGCTTTATCTTGCATAGCACTTGCGTTGTATGCTTGTTACACTCTCTTCTTTCACTGCCTGTCAAGAGGTCTTCTCACACTGCAGAGAACCATCAAGCAAAGGGAAATCCATGGAGAGGGATAGAGACAGAAGGCAAGAAAAAGAGAATATATTTGGTGCTATGTGCTGCAGATCAAAAACATGGCAGTCACATGATCAAAGGCATTTGATAATCCTTGAACTACATTGCTCCTTTAATCCTAGTGAGAGAACTATATTTTATTGGGAGGAGAGGGAGGGGGGAAAACAATGTTGGGGTGGCAAACAGAGTTAGAAAAGCAGTAACTAGCTGCTGGAAACGCAGTTTACTAAATGCAGCATGGCACTTTTTTTGAGGGAGCCGGGGAGGACGACTGCATAAAGCATCCTTGTGTGTGTGGAGAATGGAGGCTGAGCTGATGGGGCTAGAAACACAAATGTGCCACAAGTCCCTGTCCACTCAGCACTGAATAGTGCTCTTGTTTTTTTCATGGGGTTTGTAAGGGAAGTTGGCTTGTTGAATGTGACCAGACTGCTATATACTCATCCCAGTCGCCAGAATAAAATGTTGGCATTGTACATTTCTGCAAACCACAAATACATTACATTTCTGTGTTTCAAACATATCATATCAACGTTTTTAACGAGGTTTAGTTCTGGCTACATGTATTTGTGATGAATTTGTTATCTGGAGGTGGAGGGGATGGTGGATGGCACGAGACCTAGGCGAGATGGCTGCCAAGCTGCAGGCCACTGTTTGGGACAGACAAACAACAAAACTGGTCACTTTTTAGCAACACATCACTGCATTCCCAGCTGTGATTGTGGCACCAAAACCTGGTGTTTTCAGCCAAAACATTATATTTTCATATCAATAACCAAGTGGGTTTTATGCCTCAATTTAACCACACATTAACCACAGTGACATTTAAAAGTAAACAGAAGGTTAAGTTTCAAATGTCCGCAGCATAACAATGTACAAATGTTGCATATCCGTGGTTTGCCAACATTTATTCTTGTGTTAGAGACGTACCACATCTGGCACATAGACACAGAGAGGAAGATGGGTAGCAAGGTTTGGGCTAATTTTCATTTCAAGTAAGATGGCTTGAGTTACTTTTTGGTTAGTTCTGTGTTGGACTGGAGATGCACCTAAATATGAATTATATCTGCCTAGCCTCATATAACAGTTTGTATAATATCTAATAAAATAGCACCCCACGAATGATGTTATGTACGAAATGTAAAGTTAACGTTCTCAGTGTAGCTTTAAAAAAAAGAAAAATAACCGAAAAATAACTTAAAGGTCACTTAGTTTCATGCAGTTCTGAACTACAGTCTCCTGGGGGAAAGTCCTGTGTTGTTTGACCAATCCATCAATCCAGACAATACACGAATTACTGGCTCATGATTATGATAGAGTTATTTATGAATTGTGGTGCATTGCATTTCGTAGATACCATAAAACTTCAATTAATAGCCCGGGCTATTATTTGCTTAAATCACTGACACAAACTGCCTATATTTGAGACAGGCCTTTAATTCCTTTCACACAAAACTGTTGCTAAGCAAAGATTGGAAATACAATCAAATTATTTATTCAAACCGGTTTGAACGTTACTTGTTTAAAATTAGGCCTCGGATAATATCAATTCTGAATCACTTATTTGATTCTAGCGCAGACAGACAGTGCATCAGAAAGAGTTATGACACCCGAGGATTATGGCACCCAGCATACCCACTTTATCCTGTTTAAAACAATACTCACAACTTGGATTCATTTTTATGAAGAAACCTTCATTGAGGACCCTAACAGACTAAAGGAACACGAATAACTTACAGGGTAATCGAGGAATGGGCACATAATTTTAACTAGCCAACAACCCGGTTTTATATATCTGAAGAAAGTCTAATTGTCAAACTATGTAGCCACACCAGGCTAGTAAAAGGGACAGGGCATTTAATTGGGACTAGACTTTTAACTGAAGTTTTACGATATACATATGAACACTGCATGATAACAGCCTGGTTATAAAGTACAAAATATTACACTTAGACAAGTTTGTAGGTTATAATGGTTCTTAAGTGAGGGTAAGAATTATGCTGAAGTAAAAACAAGCCCACGTACAGCAGGAAGGCTCCTTGCTAATTCAGCATGTCTCCAAGAAATCAGACAAAGAAACATCATGTTTCAGTTATCTTTCCGTTTCCTCGGAAAATAAATGTTGTTGTATATCATAGCATTGTGCTCTCTGGGCCTCATCAAATTACAATAACCACCCCAAGCGCTCTGAAAAGACAAAAACATCAATATATGGTGTAATCCAAGGCCCTCTGTTGCAAGCCTTGTCAATAGTGTTTCCCTATCAGATGCAAAATGTTCCAGACCAAAGGTGAGTTGAAAAATGACAGTAGTATTTTTTCCCCCTTTCTTTCCTTTTCTATTTATGCTTTACATGATCATCATCGCATTTGTGGTTCCTGTAAAAACATGGAATGTGAGTTATCACTCGCGAAGCTGCGTGCTTTCTGCACCGATGAAAAATTAATGATTAATAATTACCTTTAACATGTGTGCGTTATACACTGGGGCTGTGTGACAAAGGAACATGGCGTAAATGAAAAGTGATGTTTGCTCTGCTCAGAGAATAAAATGAGATTGTAATGGGGGAAAAAAAATCCGCCAAAAAATAAAACAACAGTGATTATAGCCTGGGGAGATCTTGCTTTGTGTTTGTGTTTGTGTGTGTGTCCAAGAAAGGAAAGAGGATTTAGATTATCTATGGTTGGTATCAAGCTTGAACAGCCTCCTTTATTCATATGAACCAAAGCGCTGGATCCAGGCAGGAGTTTTTAGCAACACATTATATTTGTATTTAGTAAATATTGCTTCTTCCACATCAGTTGTGCTTTCAAATTAAAGTGGTTGATGAAGATGGAATAGAATTCCTGCTGTTTGCAATTTTAAACAGACTTTAAATGAATCTCTAAATTTTCTGCTTGGTTAATTTAGCATATTTAGCTTCTGATTTTGTACACTGATTACACAGAATATTTTGACCTTTGCTTTTTTAGTAGCACATCAGACTGTTCTAGGGAGTTATAACATTTGCACTCAGCAGCACGGTGGTTAGCATTGTCGCCTCACAGCAAGAGGGTTCCTGGTTTGAACCCAGTGAGGGTTTTCTCCGTGTACTCCGTCTTCCTCCCACAGTCCAAAGACATGCAGGTTAATTGGTGACTCTAAATTTCCCGTAGGTGTGAAGTGAGTGTGAATGGTTGTCTCTCTCTCTACTGTATGTGCCAGCCCTGTGATAGTCTGGCGACCTGTCCAGGGTATACCCCGCCTCTTGCCCATTGTCATCTAGGATAGGCTCCAGGACCCCCGCAACCCGCAACCCCTAACAGGATAAGCAGTCATAGGAAATGAAAGAATAAATGTTTGGGGTGAGGTTTATTTAAGCTTTTCTATTTTCATTGTTGTTACACTTGATTAAGCATCAGTGGTGGTGCAGGGCAGAATCATCTGCATATTGCAAAATCTGAGGGTCATGTAATAATTAATTTGACTGTCCTCGGTTTTTCATCCATCTCCATTTAAATCAGCCATGTGAAATATATCATAATAAGTCACAATCTCGGGGGCATTTCTTGGAATCAAGGTCATTCTGTTTTCCCCACTGGAAATTATACCATCTACATCCAGGCAACACATTTCCATTTCTTGCTCTCATCCCCAAAGAAAATGACTCGTGTTTATTTGTCACATCAATTAAGATATCATGGTTATATAGACTTCTCAATCTGTAGGGAAAATTTTGTCTGCTAATTCCATCATCCCGGCAAGACCCATTTATTCATTTATATTTCATGACGCAGTGTTTATGCTGCAGTGAAAGCCTGGCTGTTTTTTTTTTCTCCCACTCTCCCTCTCGCTCAGTTGCCTCGGTCAGTGAGGTGTTCTCCTTCTATGTTGCGATGAAATATAGATGTTAAGAGTCTAGAGAGTTGAGTGCCTCATCTGTCCTGGTGATACCATAAGGCAGCCATTAATAGTGTCAGGGAGCATCAGACGTACCACAGGCACATAATTGGATATGAGGGCATAACTGAAAGCACCTGCTTGGAAATCAACAGGGCCTTCCCGGGAGGCAGGCCCTTGGTAGATTCCCAAAGAAGTTTGCAGAGCCCATTCACTTCCCCGCTGGGTTTCGGCTCACCCATTGCTCTTTTCATTTCTCACTGAGGTCAGCCCAAGATGGCTCCTCGTTTCCTTTTTTTATGATGGCATTGTGAGTATGCAAATACTTTGGATCTTTGCATAATCACAAGCAGCGGGACCATCTGTTGTTGGCTTGTTGACTTACCTTGCGTCTGCTTTTTAATGGTGTTTTCTTGTATCTGAGTGATGTATTGGTGTATTAACAATGTGATAATCATTTAACCTCAAAAAATGCATTCAGGCGTGTATGAAAAAGTCTGAACATATGTTCAGCGAAATCTTCTGACAAAGAAGGATTTATAATCTTTGTGGAGGGATAGAAGAAAAGGGGGGAAACTGAAAAACAAAACAAAATACATCACCATACCCAGTCACACGCTGTACGATAAGATGATATTGTCAAGATAAAGATTTAAAATATGACTGTCAACAAAAGCTCTGGTCTTGGATTAGTGGGCGGCAAAGACCTGCTTGTTGATTGAGAGTCGCTTAACCTCTCTAAAATATATTGCAAAAATGCTAATGGCGAGGACTGGGAAATAAGCTGCAACTTCTGTCACTGAAGATTTGCTGGGAGATGCCCTCCATTGAAAACATGTCCCTGATAATGTGTTTTTCTTGTAGAACCTGAGCCAGACACCGGAGAAGTCTTTTAACTCGCCGCCCCCCATTTGTCCTCATAAGGTAAGCTCCAGCTTGCTTTCAGGCAAGGACAAACAACATTATGGGAAATAATTGCAGATATTTTAAGCATTTAATGTTCTTATTAGGTTTCGTTTGTGTGCCTAGTTACGTCTGTAAATTAGCTTTATATGGTGTCAGGACCCTTCTCGTGTTCTCACATAGCTGATGTTTCATTCACCATATGCCTTTTATGAGGCAATTCAAAGACAAGCATCTCTTTTCTGTTCCTGCTATTTCTTTCCCTCCGCATTCAGTCATGATTCACCATTTATATGACATGAGGCGAGAAGGGCAGATTTATTCAATGCTAATTAGTCCTGTACATGCACAGCCAAAGTCGTCACTTCACTCTGATGGTCTCAAGTCGTCTCCCCACACTGACTGGAGTAACTTTCCCCTTCAGTTCCCGCTCCTGGTGCATGCCTCTTGCAAATGTGATAATGTGCTATGTAGTGAAATTCACACAATTTCAGTTCACTTAGCACCAAATGTGTCAAAAATGCCTGTGTCCTTTTCTGGATGAATGGCCGGTATGGTGGAGAGTGGCATGTTGCAAGAGTGGACCTTGGTAAAAAGGAGCCCAATGGAGAGATGCTGTCTGACAGCCTGTCATCAACTGTTCAAAGCCTAACACTCCTCTACATCGCTAATGCACAGCTAGCTGTCTAAAACGACTTTAGTGGCATTGAAAGCTGCAGACGGTAGTAGGACAGTAAATAATAATAAAATATGATACGCCCCCCTCCCCACCACCTCATGTCTGTCATTGGTAAATCACAGGGAAGGCAAACAACATTTGTTTGGAAGTCTGTCAGCACAATTTAGCACTGTATGTCCTTCACTTAGACCTGTACGTCTCATATTTAGGTTGGTGTTGATGAGAAATTACAGTCTGACATAATTTAGCACAGGATGGGATGTTACAGAAGTTTCAATACAGGAGCGCCTCTCTTCTGTAGAGTATGTCTGTCGGTTACTTCACGCCATCTCTTTCTCCGGCTCGCTCTCCTTCCATTTTCACACAGCTGATCAGGGCTGATGTAATGGGGGAACACCGTGGGTTTGCGGATCGTGTTATTCACGTTTTAGCTGTTAGCAGCGGAACATAATCTCCCTCTAGTCAGCTCACATTAGTCTCCATGATCCGCACCAACCCAATATGTGCAGTGAATGCAATGGGCCAGCTGGGCTAATTTAGTATGTCAGTCAGCTCGGGAGGCTGGTAAAACGAGTAAATGGCTGGATATGATTCATATGAAAAGAATATTCTGATTATAATGGCTCTCAGAATAGAATATCCTCTGTCTTTCTACACTTCTCTTCATCTGCATTGTGTGCATCCCCCAGATAGATAGTGAAATGAACAGAGGGCTTTTAAACTGACTGCTCTGTGATTATATTAAGAGTGTGAGAGCGAGGAAAGGGAGGGGAGGGAGGAGATCGGGTGCCCGAGCACTAAGTATATATAATTGCTTCTTGACACATTGGCCAAATTCTGCAGTGCCAGGATCTGAGCGAAGATGATTAACGGCTGTCCGAGTGGGTGGGCACTGCAGGTCGTTCAGGGCCTTTGGTTTCCATAGCGATCCTAGTCTAAAGGCCATATATTGCATACTGAAAATCCCAGAGGTCCGCACATTGTTAAACTACAATTATAACTCACATCGAGAGCATTGTCTGTCCACCGCAAACTCTCTTATTCATCCGCCAAGCGGCATGCTGCTTTTTCTTCTCCCCTCTCTCTCTCTTTTCCTTTATTTCCTCCTCTATTTTTCTTAAATGGTCTCCTCTAGCTGGCAAGAAGATAAAGAGTGAAAATCTTGCATTCTGTGAATAATTGATGAGTGGGCTCACCTCAGAGCATCATTATAGTACGGCAGTCAGGCTAAGAGGTGAGGGTAAGATCATATTTCTGACACTAGGCTTCAGGCGGTAGAAAATTGTGTCAGTTTTTCACAAGGTTTTCTTCTGAATCTACAGCATGAATAACAGTTTCTCATTACAGCACAACAGGAAAGAAATGAATTGTGAGGAGGGACGTGAGCACGCATACTGTACATGATCCCGTTCATAAACTGTGGAATCACATTTGGAGCACAGATGGTAAATAGAAACTTCTGAAATACGGCTGTTAAGATCACGCTGATGTTTGTGTTTGGCAGAATGTTATATAGTAAATTTGTAGTCATGAGTTCTGTTATGGGCGTAGGTTTTGTTTCAACAGTGGGGGGGGCACATATGAAACGAGAAGTTTGAGAGTCCTCGGCCAGAAATTTTGGAGCATTAAACACTTAATTTCCTTCATTTTGGTAAATTTAATGCAGTGATTTTTGCCTTTTCTGTCATGATCCTGGGTTTTTGTTTCCTTGTTTCATGTTATTTGTTCATGTTTAATCTGTTTCCTGTTTTATTTTGTAGATTCTCTCCTTGTGTGTCGTGTCTGGTTTTACTTCCTGTTTTTGTGTGTTTTCTTGCCTGGTTTCTGGCTGAATCCAAATGTCCACAATTCACTGCACTTGCAGATGCGCAGACTTTGCGGGCACATTCCCAGGATGTCTGGGAGTGCTTAAGGCTGCCCAAAGCTACAGTTCATCCAGTCCACAAGGGGCCTCAAGCGAACATCACACTTCCAGAGAGTCCGTTTGGGGCGCAGACATCCGCAGACTTCACTGATTTAATAACCCACAATTCATTGCAGTAGGGACGTGACGTGGGTTTTTCAACCGCGGAAAAAAAAAACATGAATGTGTAAAACAGTTATTGATGTTTTTTGGCCCATTAAAATGCTAAATGTGTAGACCAGAAATAATACTCATCCAAATCAGAATATAGAAATATGTATAAGTATAGGCTGTAGACAGACTGAAAAGACATCTTATTATTGCGGCCTGTCAGGTTGTGCAGTGTAATAGGGTACAAAACTGGTCAAAAAACACAAAAGAAGGTCTTCTAATGTGAGTAATGCCCAATTTATAGAGTTATAGTCTTGTCCTTGTTTACAAACATTTTTGTTATTGAACATGTGCAGCCTGTTACATAGACATATATTAATACATTTTTGTTTAGTCACAAAAAATGGTTATACATGGGATTTATATCTTGATATCTGCAGGGACAGATGAGTCGGCACGGTTCATCAACTTATATTACCTATATGACATGTGAATATGATGGGAGCGTATCTATGTTTCCCAGGTTCTATGTTCCCCACTTAACCCTGCAAAAAAGGTTCTATGTTCCTCACTTACACAAAAAAGATTCTATATTTCCCAGGTTCTATGTTCCCCGCTCAACCAAAAAGGGTTCTATTTTCCCTGCTCAACCAAGTGGGAAACATAGAACCCTTTTTGGTTGAGCGGGGAACATAGAACCCGGGAAACATAGAACCCTTTTTTGGTGGTAAGCGGGGAACACAGAACCCAGGAAACATAGAACCTTTTTGGGTGGTAAGCGGGGAACATAGAACCTGGGAAACATAGAACCCGGGAAACAAAGAACCCTTTTTGGGTGGTAAGCGGGGAACATAGAACCCAGGAAACATAGAACCCAGGAAACAAAGAACCCTTTTTGGGTGGTAAGTGGGGAACATAGAACCCGGGAAACATAGAACCCTTTTTCGGTGGTAAGCGGGGAACACAGAACCCAGGAAACATAGAACCTTTTTGGGTGGTAAGTGGGGAACATAGAACCTGGGAAACATAGAACCCGGGAAATGTAGAACCCGGGAAACATAGAACCCTTTTTGGGTGGTAAGCGGGGAACATAGAACCTGGGAAACATAGAACCCTTTTTGGGTGGTAAGCGGGGAACATAGAACCTGGGAAACATAGAACCCTTTTTGGGTGGCAAGCAAGGAACATAGAACCTGGGAAACATAGAACCTTTTTGGGTGGTAAGCGGGGAACATAGAACCTGGGAAACATAGAACCCGGGAAAAGTAGAACCCGGGAAACATAGAACCCTTTTTGGGTGGTAAGCGGGGAACATAGAACCTGGGAAACATAGAACCCTTTTTGGGTGGTAAGCGGGGAACATAGAACCTGGGAAACATAGAACCCTTTTTGGGTGGTAAGCGGGGAACATAGAACCTGGGAAACATAGAACCCTTTTTGGGTGGTAAGCGGAGAACATAGAACCCGGGAAACATAGAACCTTTTTGGGTGGTAAGCAGGGAACCCAGAACCCGGGAAACATAGAACCTTTTTGGGTGGTAAGGGGGGGAACATAGAACCTGGGAAGCATAGAACCCGGGAAACATAGGGATGACCCCAATATACAGCAGCAATTGCTGAACATTTCCACAGCAACGAGTAAAACAGTCGAGAGCTGCAGTCTCTGCCTTGGCAGACTTTTTTTGTCTATGTCTATTTTTTTTAATTAATTGCAAGACAAAAGACAGAACATTGACAAGACAAAACAGTGGATACAGGACAGAACAACTGACCACAGAGCAAGAGAGCAAAATGTCATTGGTTGTTTGGTGTTATGTTTTATGTGTATGTGTGTGTGTGTGCATGTATAGCGTATAAGGCGCGTAAGAAAGAAAGACAGGGAGAAAAGGCCGATTGTGGGCAGACAAAATAAATAAATAAATGAGATAACAGTAAATAACTATAATAATAGCTATTTAATAAGGTGTACACAAACATCACACATTCACACTGACCAAAAAACAAACAAAAAAATCCCACCCTCGCAGACTTAACGTGATGACGTCACACTACGTACAACTGAAGTCCTCGAGGGCTCTGTCTGCAAGTCCAGAGGGTGGATGTTTGGATTCAGCCTCTGTCTCATCTGTCTTATTAGTCCTTCCCTGTTCCGAGAATCTTCCTTCACACCTGTTCTGTACTAGTCTCGGCTGCTCCGCCCTAGTGTTCCCGTCCACACCTTTGTTGTTAGCCAATCCCCATTTCCCTCCTTCTAGTCTGAGTGGGCGGAAGTTCACTGCATAGATCAGCCTCTCACTGGGCGGAACGAGCCACCCGCTGAAGTCCCGC